AAGAAAATTTAAATAGTTAAAATATGTAAGAAAAATAACTTTTGCAGAACAATTTCCCTCATATACAAACCCTTTAAAATTGTTTGGGATAAACTGTAAAAGTTGTTTGCTTGAGGTGATGGATACCCCAATTACCCTGATTTGATCATCAGGCATTGTATGCCTTTATCAAAATATCACATGTACCCCATAAATATGTACAACTATTATGTATCCATAATAATTAAAAATTAAAAAGAAATTGTCACAGAAGTAAAGAGAGGCTTGTCAGTGCCTTAGGAATAATAGTTTCACAATCAGCTCTTTTAGCTCTATGTGTACGAAGTTCCCTGATGACTGTCAGGGTGGAAAATGGGTTAAATGAAAGAAGCTGGTTGCTTATCACCAGCTCGAGTGGGAGAAAGGCGCAGAAGTGCTGCTTTGCTCCCTCCTCTGTGCCCCAAGTCCAAGGCTAGACGTATGCAATGATGGCTGCTGCCGATTGACTCAACATTGTCAGGAACAAAGGCTTATGGAGAGGTCAGTACAATTTCGCCTCTAGCAAGAGATACCAGAGTTATGATCCACTTTTCAAAGTTGCCTGAAGGAAAGTGCAAATATCCCAGTCTGCAGTTTGGAAGAAAATCCCAGATGTATATGCAGTTTTTGCCTGAGTTTGCAGATCATCTTTTTCTTTCCCCTCACTGGTTCCATTGCCTTCTCTCAATGGCATCACATGATGACATCTTGCTCCAGAAGCCATTTTAATCCTTATTTAACGTTTGCACTCTAAAAGTGTTCTTTTCTGAATGGCTAGGAGCTTCAAGGTTCGAGGTCACAATTAACCGTAGCACTGATTCCTGTGTTACGAAGGTGCTTATGCAAGTAAATACAAGTGGCCAACTTAAATTTTATTTGTATCTAGTCTGTCTTGTCATTCTTTTTAGCAAGAAGAGAAAAGTAACTGAGCCTACTCCATCTTTTCTCATGTATTTGTAGTATATTTGAGTCTTGTCTTAAATGAGTCAATAAAATGCGATATTTCTAGCTTTTCTTCATATTAGATTTCTGAGGTTTCTTTCAGCTGGACCTAATAAAATTCTGTATATGACTTTTCAGATGCAAGAATGAATTGCTTTGCAAAAACATATTCTGAATACCACATTGAATGCAGGTGGTGTGCCAGAAGAGAGACAAGAGTTGTGGGTATTCTGTAGGGCAGTCAGTTCATCAGGGACTGTGCAATGGCCAGCGGCACCCTGAAGCAAGAGAATTTGAGTCTTAAATGGCCTTGTTTGATTGGATAAGTAAACCGACAAAAACCAAAATGAATCTTTTTATTTATTTATTTATTTTGAGATGGAGTCTCTCTCTGTCACCTGGGCTAGAGTGCCGTGGCGTCAGCCTAGCTCACTGCAACGTCAAACTCCTGGGCTCAAGCAATCCTCCCGCCTCAGCCTCTCAAGTAGCTGGGACTACAGGCATGGGCCACCACACCCGGCTAATTTTTCTATTTTTAGTAGAGACAGCATCTCGCTCTTGCTCAGAGCTGGTCTCGAACTCCTGACCTCAAGTGATCCTGCCGCCTCAGCCTCCCAGAGTGCTATGATTACAGGCATGAGCCACCACCTCCAGCCCAGATAACTTTTTAAAGCTAGCATGCTACTAGTAATTAACTTTCAGTAAATACTTGCCTTGAGCCAACATTGATCTAAGCCATTTACATGACTCATTTACCGAGGAGATACAAGCAAGATCAGAGAAACACAAGATAATCTTTCTTCCCCTAGGTCAACTGAACACCATGTAGTAGCATAGTGCGGGTCCATCCTACTATCTCAGGCGCCAGGCTCCTTGCCGCTCTACCCTTGTGTACAATTCCAGTTTCCGTTTTGCTGAGCCTTGAAGGAACAAGGCTATTTCTTAGGATATAAATAGATACCTATTAATGTTACAAATGGGTGGAGGACACAATGGGTGGAGGACATGTTTTTTCTTGTTTTGAAGCAAACACATTTAAATTTGACTTGTGTTTAGAATTGTTTTAATAACATTTATTGGAGGCTCACGTATATGCATAGGAAGAAGGTGTAAAAGTTCTCATTTGGCAGGAAAAATTAACATGATTTCAATATACAGTTTCTAATTCGAACCCCCAGTTGAATTTAGAGAACTGGAATTTTATTTAAGTGCATCTAGATGAAATGGTCAAACATTATCATGTCTGTAGAACAGAATTTTAAAATCTTATCGTGCTCTAAATCAGCATCAATAAGATGATTTTAATATTATATATCGTGTAGAAATAACAAAAATTACTTTCCTGGTTTTTAGGTGTGTGGTTTTTAACAACAGAGGAGTGGCGGGAGAGAATCTCTTGGTAAGTAAATTTAAATGAAAACAGTCTTAATTTTTAAAAGAATCATTTCCAGTTTCATAACAAAAAGCATACTCTTTTTATTTAAAGTAACTATTTGTTTATGTAAGCAGTACAAGTTCGTTGTAGAAAAATACAGATAAGCCAAAAAAAAGGAAATTTATAAGACCCATAATTATACAACCAAGGAAATCCTCTTAGTCTATGTTCATTCAGATCTTATATATAAATAAAATATATGTAATATATTTTTGTAGAAATTAAGATTGTATGTTTTTATTTTACTTTTTTATGTCTGTGGATACATTGTGACTTAAAGATTTTATTGTATAACTAAAATTTTGTACTTACTATAATTTGACATCAGTAGATATTTCTCTTTCATTTTTAATGCAAAACACATTTCCTTTAAAAATTAACCAGTACAAAACAAACTAGTACAGTGATAGTTTTTTTTTAACCTGTGAAATTCACTTTTGTCATGAAACGGACTGACTTTATGTTGTATGTGTTTTTGCCAAATGAAGTTCATGTAGCAGAAATGTTATTTCAACTTTTTCAATTTAAATCAAGTCTTTCCCCCCCGCCAATGTTGAATTTTTGCTAGAAGTTCTTTCACCTCTTAGAATATCATCGGCTTTATCTGCTGTTTAAATCTGTGAGTTGCAATAAGATATACTAATATTATACTCTATGAAATTTTCTTGCAACTTTTTACCTTTTAGTCCCTCACCAGCTCAGTCATCAAAGGCAATTCTACTGGAGTTGAAAGAAACTTTTTTTTGAGTCATCTATACAGAATGGCATTAAGACTATAAATAATTAAGTCATGCTGGAAGGAGCTCTTGCACTTTGCTTTGCAAGTGACTTAGGCCCTGGAGGGAGTCAAGATCAGTACGATTTCAAAAGCAAAAGTTGTAAAATGTTTGTGGTCTTACTCCAGTGCCTCATAACGAAAAGTTTGATGTGGAAGTTCACATTCCCTCATTCAGTCCAGCCCTTTAGGAATCTTGTAAACAGATAGTACTCTAAAGGGAAAGATTTGAATCTGTGGCGGTGGCCATGGCTCAAGCAAATCGTTTTGCGTTCCTCTGGTCACTTCCAGGACACAAAGGGGGAGGAAATGGTCTGAGGCTCTCAAGGAAATAGTATGCTGCAGAGTCTGTTAGGTCTCTATAAAGCGAGGGACAATCAGCAGAGCCCCAATGTGCACCTATTAAATCAGGCGCTGTGCCAGGCAATGGGGCGAGGAGTATGCATGCTAATGAGACAGAACCCTAATCCTTAGGAGCTCAAACTTTGGTTGTGGGAGAGAGTCAGGTACATAAAAATACATATGATGCAGTGCTAAGTGTCACCACAGGAAGATATTAAGGCTACAGAGCACAGAGGGAAGGAATAACAAAGTGCCTAGGGACGTGGGAGAACTTCCTATTAGAGGTAACATTTTCAGTTGGATCTTGAAGCCTCCAGGAGAGGGATAGAGGCTTTCTTAGTGTAAAGAACAAGGCATTAGAGAGCATGGAATGGTAACTACTTTCTTGTGGTTGGATGCTCATCAACATCGTTTTATCTAATATTTGTTGAGTCCTTAGAATGTATCAGTCATGTCTTTTCATACTTAATGTTCAGCAGTAGAAACAAACCCAGTGATTTAGGTAAGTACAGCCACCATCATCTCCATTTGCCAGATGAGGAAAATGAGACACAGGCAGGTTAGGAACTTTCCCCAGCCAAGAAATGGCAGAGCCAAGATTCAGACCCAAGGGATCAGACTATGTTCTTCCTTCTTGACCATTGTGCTCCACTCCCTCTTACTATTCAGGAAGTGACAGGAATTCTTCTACAAGGATCAGGCCAGACTTTGAAGAATCACATGTAGAATCCTAAGAAACCTATTGTGGAACCATTGACATTTTGAAGCTGGGGCATAATTTGATCATGTTCCTGTTTTAGGAGGAGAACTATGGCAGTGATGTGTAGCAGAGAGGTGAAGTGGGGAGGAAGCTGGTGGCTGGGAGACCAGGTGGAAAGCGGTTAACTACAGACCTGCTAATAATGTGGAGCTTGAAAGCAGATGTAGGAGGGATGAAGAGGAGAGAACAAAAATGAGTGGTATTCATGGGACAGAAATAATAGGATTAATTGTATTGTGGGAAGTAAAGAGGAGTCAAAGGTAGTGATATTTACTAAAATACAAAATTTAGCAGAGCATACAAGATTGTGGTGTAATAAAGATAATAAGTTCTGTTTTAGAAGTTAAGGATGCTTTTAGGTCATCCAGGGGAAATTTCTAGTGAACAGTTGGATATACTGGACTGGTCCTCAGGAGAGATGTATGAGCAAAGGGAGCAAACAGGAGTGGTTGAGATTTCTTAGGAAGAGTAAGTAGAGTAAAAGGGGAGAGGTCTATGGGTAGAATCTTAGAAAACAACAAATGAGCAGGAGGAGAGAAAAAAGGAGGATGCTTAAAAAACATTGTATCCTGGCCGGGCGCGGTGGCTCACGCCTGTAATCCCAGCACTCTGGGAGGCCGAGGTGGGCGGATCGTTTGAGCTCAGGAATTCGAGACCAGCCTGAGCAACAGCAAGACCCCCATCTCTACTAAAAAAAAAAAATAGAAAGAAATTAGCTAGACAACTAAAAATATATAGAAAAAATTAGCCAAGCATGGTGGCGCATACCTATAGTCCCAGCTACCTGGGAGGCTGAGGCAGGAGGATCTCTTGAGCCCAGGAGTGTGAGGTTGCTGTGAGCTAGGCTGATGCTGCGGCACTCTAGCCCAGGCAACAGAGTGAGACTCTGTCTCAAAAAAAAAAACAAAAAAAACAAAACATTGTATCCTTAGCATTTAAAGTTAATTAGGAATTTACTTTGAAAGAATGCAGCAACCCAGTAACTTTCAGCCATAAACTTTAAATAGACTTTTGAAAAATCTCTAACAATACTTTGAGTTCCCACAAAAGGATATATATACACTTTTTAAAAATTATTTTAAAGAATTCACAGAGTTCTAAGCCAGCAGATAGGAGTAGCTTGGTTTCTGGAGTCTTAAACAGTGTGTGGGTTAAATTCTGATGAACTAGTAACCACAGCAGATATGTGTATCAAAACAGAGAATGCAAACTAAGGTGTCAGAGCTATAGTCTGGCAAGGAGCTTGGGTGTGCATAGCAGAAAGTACGTTGGACTCAGTAAGAAGCCCCAGGTTAAAGTTCTGTTCTCACAACTATCCAGCTAAGTGATAAGAAAAAGAGACACAGAAAGGTTGACTTTTTCTCTATCTGAAAAATGATAATAATGTAATAATATACACTTGCCAGCTCACAAGGATGTCTGAAGTTCACATGGAATTATGAATATGAAAATACCTTGTAAAATAAAGCTTTTTATAATCCAAGGCATAATTGCTATTGTATTAACTCCTAGGTCATTAGGGTACAAACAGTATCTAATTATAATTCACTTCCTTAAATTTCTTTTTTAAAGTAGTTCTAAAAGGATATAATTGTAATCACACTTTGGTCATTCTACGTCCTTATTCTTTCTTAAGCTGGATCACAAAAGCAAGATGCCAGTATTATCAGGGCTAAACTTGGTATTTAGATCCCTTGATAATCCTTTCTGTTTTAGAGCTTCAACGAACAATTACTGTTTCATACTGGAGGAACTCTTATGTTTGTTTATTCTATTTATTTATTTAATGTTTATTTATACTTTGCCTTGTTCCAGAAAGAATTTAGTGTGGCTCAGACCCAGAGTAAGTAAGACCTTAGAACAGGCTTAAAAAATCACAAAAGATGAATCAACAAAGAAACAGAAAGAAACTGTCTCTATCTGAAATTAACCCACAAGAACTAACAGAGGGGAAGTGGAGTTTGGGGTAAGCAGTTCTAGGAGGGGAAGAAATGCAAAAGTAAAGTGTTTGCTGTAATATGTTAGAAATATACTCACAATTTATAGAGATTACTATGGCTCCTGCAAAGGAGAATTAGGAACTAGAAATTTTCTTTTTCTCTTTTTTAAAGTGAAAGCAAGTTTTATTTAGAAAGTGCAGAAAATCCACAGACAGAGCAGAGGCTCGTTCTCCCTGTGGAGGAGAACCAGCCGGAACTACAAATTTCCTACCACCATATTGTCCTCATTTTCCATTAGTCATTGCAAGATTGAGGGAAAGCCAAAGGCCTTTCTCACTAGGAATTAGAAGCTTATACCTTCCCTCTCTGGGGCTGTTCACTGTGGGAAACAGATAGTCCTAGCTGAGCCTCAGACATTCCTGCAGGGTTCTGGGAGCCCTCAGAGTAGATAGGACGTTTTCTTCTGCTCTGAGATTGGTTTTCAAGGATGGGAATCCAGGAATCCAAGTTATCCACAAACTCCCTAATGTTATTGATTGCCTCATGCACTTTAGGGATGATAATTTACAAAGAACTGAGCCACATTTGAGTTGAAAGCTACATATGGGCCCCTTTGTTTTTAATTATAGGGTCATACAGACTTGTGTCCCTAGGCCCAATGAGAAAAACTTCTTAGCCACTTTGGAAAATAGTCCGGCAGTTCCTAAAACGTTAAGCATAGAGTTATCATATGACTCAGCAATTCCACTCCAAGACAAATGAAAATATATGTTCTCACAAAAACTTATACACAAATATTTATAGTAGTATTATTCATAATAGCCAAATGGTAGAAACAACCCAAATATTCATCAAAAGATGAATGAATAAACCAGATGTAGTATGTTCATATCATGGCATATTATTCCGCATTAAAAAGGAATCAAGGCTGGGCGCGGTGGCTCACGCCTGTAATCCTAGCTCTCTGGGAGGCCGAGGCGGGCGGATTGTTTGAGCTCAGGAGTTCAAGACCAGCCTGAGCAAGAGCGAGACCCCGTCTCTACCAAAAATAGGAAGAAATTAATTGGACAGCTAAAAAAATATAGAAAAAAATTAGCCGGGCATGGTGGCGCATGCCTGTAGTCCCAGCTACTCGGGAGGCTGAGGC